TGCATTCTACTATCTTCTGTTTACAAGCTAAAGAAAAACTTAGCCCACAACTGAAATTTGTGGGCCTTGCAAAATATGTTTGTTGTGAGGAAGTCGTTCATGTTTGTTAAATAGCTTTATTTGAGCTTTGATCCACCTGCTGCAAGACACTTTTGATGAAAAAAAGATATTTTTTTTAGTTTTGCTTTTTTAAACAATCTTGTTTTATAGAAAGAGCTATGAAGCCTTTTGAAAGAGTAAGTCATAAGAATGAGGACAAAGATGTTAAAGGTTAAACTATTTCTACTCCAATTGCCGTTTAATAAGCAAAGTCTTATGAATTGCACCATGTAGTTTATCTTTTACTGATATGATCTTTGTCTAAATCTTTTGTTCCATCTTGGTAAAATACTGTATGTGACTGTGATAAGCAGTGGATTCTAAGTTGATTGCTAAAAGGAACATGTGCTATATTTAAGTATTACTCTTAAACAGTAGCTTTTGAAAACAACTGTATGAGAAGATGCTGAGTGAACAGCACACCAAGAAAAATGAAAAAAAGAAAAAGAGGCTTGAATGCCCAGTAAGAAAACAACACAGGAGAATACATTAATTTTTACTAATTCCAAGGGTATCCAGTGAGGGAATGTCACCAAAGTAGAAAAGGCAAAATAGAAAGAGATACTTTTGAGCAAAATAAGTACTCTTTTTTTTGGCCACAAGAAACCCCCAAACTTAAATGATCAGTTTATCCTGAAAAACAGCCATTTTTTTAAAACGTACGTCTTAGATGCTGGTAATAAAAAATGGCTCCACTTGCAAGTTGCTTTCCTCAATGCCATACCAGTTGCTATCCATGGGAATAGATCAAACAATGGGTTTTATTTTTGTGTTTTCCAAGAGCTCGGCGGGGTGTGTGTGTGTGTGGAATTGATCTTAAACTTTTATGGTATAAACTTTTATGAAGACAATCAATTCAGTTGTAGATGTCATGCCGTGTTAGATTTCTTCCAACTCATGCCACTGGTGTTTTGCATCACATTTATCTTCTGTTTCTCGAAGCAGAAATGTGTCCCTAGATCCTTTAAGTGTGTAATTCAAAGGTACGCATTATTCTTAGAAAATAAGTGAGTGCTTTTTTTGTGGGTGAAGGTGTGTAACCAATCCTTCCCCCCC